GTTGGAACGTAGACGGAGCATTGCATAAGCCGAATGGCACTTACTCGCCAAGCGTACTGTCCGAACGGTGTGACAAACGCAGTTTTGTACACATCTTGTTCTTTGATACGAACTTGGTGGTAACCGGAGTGCAAGTCTAGGGACGTAAAGACTTGAGACCCGGCGATTGTGTCAAACAAATCGTCTATTCTCGGAAGAGGAAAACGTTCCCGAACCGTGATATTGTTTAATGCTCGGTAGTCCACGCAAAGCCGTTTTGTCCCATCTTTCTTTTTCACAAAGATAACCGGTGCGCCATACGGTGAGCCGCACGGTATGATCTTCTTATCTTGGAGTAGTTGGTCAATTTGTGCTGTCAACTCTTTCTTATCGGTAAATGAAAGTCGGTATGGTGACCGGTGTGGCGGTTGTGACCCAGCAATTACTTCAACTTGGTGCTGGACTACACCTTTCGGTGGCAACCCCGCGGGTAATTCACATGGCCTTGAACAGTGTCTCAAATAGGAGGCCTCTTCTTTAATTGCAGTTTCCATACCTCTGAGGGATCACGAGTTTTTCATCCAAACGGCCCCTGAGCTCGTAATTTACATCCCTTATTTACATTCTGGTTTCACAGACGCCAGCTGGCCCGCCAGCGAACCTTCGTACGGCAAAATTGATCAAAAAGCTTTTCTCATATGTTTGCCTGTATCCAATGCCGACGAATGGGGCATTTTTTATGTCAGCGCGGCGTTCACACGAAACCAGTGCATATTTTGGACCAGTGCTACAAATCTCTGCAAAATCGCCTCGCTGCTCACGGCACTAGTAGACGCTACAGTTTCAGTGACCAGTAATCGAATCCCTTGCTATCGGTTATCGGAAGTTGGCACCTGTACCCCAGGATCAAGAGGGCATATACCAGGAAAAAATGTGAGGCAATCCCAAGATAAAAAAGAAATTCACCGCGGACTGTCACCCGCGTTCATGTCCGAGCATGTTAAATAGACCCGACTTGCCTCCGGCGGAAATTGTAGTGGGTTTTGTTCGTCATTTATTATTCCGTTCTACATTCATTGCTTCCTAGATTCCTCAGCATACCATATACCTAGCTGAGGTCACATTAATTTGTTGCTTATACTTTGCTTTTAGTAAACACTCACTAAATTGCATTTTGCAAGCCACAATCATAGACACCAGACATCATATTCACATAGGTCATAGACGCCAGTCTCTTTAAAGAGCCATTCCCTTCATTTTCTCGCCTCTAGCACCAGCATTTCCAAGATGGGCACCTCCAAATTTGAAGATGGCCTTAGAAGCGTGACCAGTGCCCTCGACCCAATCATCTCGGAAATCAAACCCTACGCTTCTGATGAGCCGCAGCCTAAAGTCGGCTTCTGGGAGTCGTTCCAAAGAAAGGAGGAACAGGAAGTCAGAAGAAAAGACTTGAAAATGGCCCACTTAAGTGTCATCGCCCTTAGTAGTGGTATGGGAACCGGTCTTTTGGTGGGTTCAGCATCCAAGTTGAGAAGTGGTGGGCCATTATCACTTTTAATCGCATATGCTCTTGTGGGTTTGATGTGTATTTGCACCATGAATGCGGTTGGTGAGCTCACCGTGGCCTACCCGGACTTAGAGGGTGGTTTCAATGAGTGGTATAGAAAATTTTTGGACGAGTCCATGGCATTTGCCTTGGGCTGGAACTACTTACTTCAGTGGATGACTACGATCTCCTTGGAGTTGGTGACATCTGCATTGACAATCAAGTATTGGAACACCACCATCAACTCTGATGTTTTCGTTGCGATTTTCTTCGTGGTCATCTGTCTGATCAACTTCTTCGGTGTCAGAGGATACGCCGAAGCCGAGTTTATCATGAACTCCATCAAATTGATCACGTTGACTGGTTTTGTCATCATGGGTCTCTGTATTGACTTGGGCGCCAGTCCCTCGGGCTTTATTGGTGGAGAGTACTGGAGAGATCCTGGTGCTTTTACCAGCTTCAAGGGCTTGGTGACTGTCTTTGCCACTGCTTCTTTCTCTATGGGTGGTACTGAGTTCTTGGCCTTGTCCGTCAGTGAAGTCCGCAACCCCAGAACTGCCTTGCCTGTGGCCATCAGACTTGTGTTCGTTCGTATCATCTTCTTCTACTTGGGAACCTTGCTTTTCGTTGGTCTCTTGGTTCCTCGCGACTCTGACAGACTTATGGGTTCTGGTGGCTCCTCCACCAGTGCATCGCCATATGTTTTGGCTGCTGATTTGCATGGCGTGAAGGTCATTCCTCACATCATGAACGCTGTCATCTTGAACTCCGTGACTTCCGTTGCCACTGCTGCCATGTATTCTTCCTCCAGATTGTTGAGGTCATTGGCTGTGCAGGGCTACGCTCCTAAATGGTTTGACTACACGGACAAGGCCGGCCGTCCTCTCAGGGCCTGGTTAATCACCATTTTGGCTGGAGCTTTTGCATTCATTGCCACGTATGAGAAGCAAGATGTAGTGTTCAACTGGTTATTGTCCATTGTTGCTTTGTCCATCGTCATCATTTGGCCAAGTCTTTGTTTGTGTCACTTGAGATGGAGAGCCGCGTTGAAGCACAACAATGTCCCATTGGAGTCGTTGGGTTTCGTGTCCTACACTGGTGAAATAGGTTCCTACTACTCCATTGTCATCAACATCTTGATCTTGATCGGTCAGTTTTGGGTTGCTCTTTTCCCCGATGGCGATGCCGACGTCAACTACTTCTTCCAAAACTATCTTACTGTGCCTTTCACTCTTTTGTGTTACATCGGCCACAAGACTTGGACTAGAAGCTGGCGCCATTTTTACATTAAAACCGCCGATATCGACATTACAACTGGGAGAACAATTGTGGACTCTGAGGTGTTGGAGTTGGACATTGAAGAGAAACAGCAGAAGTTGGCTGCCGTGCTGTGGTGGAAGAAACCGTTCATCTGGTTTTTTAACTAGACCCTGTAACATAATTTGTACGATGATTATGAGATAATACACACTAGACAATTTCATCGATATCAGCGCCCTAAAACCGAGTACTTCTATTGTTTTGTTTTAAATTGTCCTGGAGAGCTGGAGATAGTTAGAAGCACATCTGAAGATTTGTTTCCCGTGAAAGGAAGTTCTGCTCTTTATGACCCCTGCTATCAGCTTAACGCTGAAAAATCCTGTAAGCGCATATATAATATTATGCACTTCCATTATTATGAGTTCCATAACATATCATTTTCAACAATTCACGGAAAATTCTCTTGAGTTCCAGGGACTTCACGTAGCTCCCAGACAGATATATAAAGGTTAAATAGAGCTTCAGGTAGGATGTAAGATAATTCAGCGATCAAATCGCGAAGTAGACACTAGGTTCTCTCGTGCCGTCGAACGATTGTCCTAATTGGAGTACATGTGTCCAGGCGGTTCTTCATCCACCCAACAATGGGCTTGTAGATTAATAAGAAGATGCTTGTCAAGTATGTGAAAATATTTTTTATCTTGTTTGGCCCGAAAGAGAGCTTTTTTTCAGTATTATTTAATGCTTCGCAAAGTCCGTCAAAAGTTTACCGGATACACCCAGCGTTGAATAGGATATTTCTCTACCAAATTAGGCAAATGTCAATAATCAATAGCTGAAACCAATTCACCTTATACCTGCCAAATTTGAGTAGTAAATACTTTTGCGGTACATTTTCTTTATAATTACTGCAGTGCTGTTTATGCTGTTGAGCCAGCTGTCCTCATCAAGTTTTGAACAAACTGATATGTTATCTTATCTAAAGACAGTTCGCAATTTCAGATGCCAATAATAATGAGAGCAAAAATTCACACAATTGCAGAAAGTCATAAATTGGACACTTTTTGCTTGGCGAAAATCAATTGCTTTTACGAGAACCAGGGCAAGAGATACCTTTCATATATTTTGGCCCTTACAATTTGTTAGTTACTCTTGGCGACGTTTTGACAAATTATTCCACCTAACATCAATAATAGTGAGCAAAGTATTGGAAGTAGAATAGAATCAATTGATACGCTTTGGCTGCATTCGACTATCTTCACTCACCCTTTCTCTAAATTGTGAATTGATTTATCTCGAATTTTCTTATATAAATACACCTGACTGTAAACTTAGTGAGACCTTCGGGCTCAAGACTTCTGGAATGGGCAAATCTGTTGAAACTGAGATCCGGATTCCACGCTTTATACCAGGCCACCAAATACATGAATTTACGGGTCTGTGAGCCACATTTACCTGATTAATGCGCATGATCATTAAATCTTTTTTGCAAATTCCATAAACGATTTCCTACGATGGTACACATAGCTTCACGTACTCTTCTTTCAAAGTACTGTTCATCTTTTCATCACCCTTTTTGTTCAAACGCTTGCCAAGATGTGACTAGGATCACTACCAAACCATAACAAACTCGATATGTCAAAGGACGAATTTAAATTGAAGCTCCTCCAAAAAGCCTTCGGCTCACAATTCAATATGGCCAGCTTCGACGAATTTTTAAAAGTTGGCTCGAAAGAAATCTCTTGATGCGGATGAGTCCAAACTTACCCCCGCCATTTTGTCGGCTGCTTTGCTTCAGATGACACAGAATGATTCAAATGCTGATGGATTTATAAAATCTGCCGTGGAGATGTTTGCTGCTTTCTCCGACTATTTAGTATTTGAAGTGAATACTATATTTCTGGGGATCTCCATGTTTTCGTCTGTGTCTGCCTAAAAAATGATGTGAGTCGATACAAAGCCTCTTTGACAGAATTGAGAGCTTGCAAGACATTCTGACAACATGCAAGCACTATGAAGCCAACTTTGATGAGTGTAAGTTGAACCGGAGCTACTTCATATCCCGGGGCCGTTTTAGTGTCCATCACGCTGCCGAGATTTTTAATAGGGCACAGCATCTTGTAGCTCGTGAACTTTTTCCTTGCTTGCTTGTGTAAAAAGGAAATTCCTAGTGCACAAGGTGTATGGTGAAAAGCGAATTCATTGGCTTAGACTTGCGGCAGCGATCCCATTGAGCAGTATTTGAAAGACATCAAAATTTTGGGCTATGAAAAGATATGGATACTCAATGGACTTTTTGCCTAAATACTTGATGTCCATGAATACCAAGTGTGACAAAACCTTGATAAAACTCATGGAAAGGTTGGGCTTCTGGGTATAAAAATTTTAGCACTAGTTGAAGGAACAGAGTTCAAGAGGGACGTTGGTCAAGTATCACGCACAATACCGGCTTCAGCATGAACCAATTTTTGGGGTGAAGACTATTCATGAACAAGTTATTTTTGAGTAGCATAGAAGAAGTGTGAATCTTGCTGCTCAAGCGAAAAAGACCTTGAATACCCCTAGGAGGCTAACAAGTGATTATCAGAATAAATGAAGTTCTTGAAGATGTGTGGAGTGAATTTGAGTCATATGAAGACCCGTGTAGTACATGTCCTTGGCGATGAAGCTTTGCCCTGCATCTTCATGCGGAAATAATTGACGGTGCTGAAATCTTGGAAGCTGTAGCTCTATTATTTTATATAAAAAAGTAGTCGAGAATGCTTGTGATTTCATTTTATCTTTTTCTTCTTATTTCTCTGCTGAATCCATGCAACAGACCCCCAAACGAGAAGGACATGAAACTCAACGAACACGCATCAATTCAAAAGTCTTAATGAACCCAGAAAACATGGGGCGGATCGTGTCTCTTTTTATTTTCAAATAGAGCTTTATCAAGCAGAGAAACATCACGAACACTCGACTGGAAGAAAGACTTGCAAGACAGATGATTCGATGGTGTTTTTGAGAAAGAGTTTCGCTCAAGCAATCCCTCATGATAATCAGGTTTTTTGTCACAGAGTGAGACAGAATTCCATATACTTCCGAATTTGGCGGAGTTATTCCCTCCCCCCATATCCTGGTCTCCGAGTGGCTTCCTCTTTTAAGAACTCTCTCTTTTATGTGAAAGTTTAGAAACAACATGTAATACTCTCTGAATTTGGGTGAAATGTCTCTACCAAATTGGGTCCTGCTGAAACAGAACCAAGCACCGCCATATAGCCTGCGAGGTTTCCTAAGTATTGCTAGAGCTAGAATAAGATCTTCAAATAGCCTCAATGCAAGGCTCGCTTTCCTGTAGGATTATAGCAGTCAAATGTCAAATTCGTCAGAAGTTTATTACTGCTCCTTTTCTACTTTAAATCTGATTCAAAGTCTTCATCATGGTGCCGCAATTGCTATACTCCGTTCCTACGACGAAACCAGTTACAAAAACCACGATTATGCAAAACAATAGAGGAAGCCAGCCACTAAGAAGACAGCAAGACTCCAGAAAAATGGCTGTCAAGATTAGATTCCACCCCCAGTACAGAGCCTCTTTCATTGAGGTCAGCTCCTTCGAGTCCAAAAGCCATTCGAAAACCACCGTTCCCAGGATCCCCAACCCGAGAAGCCCCGCCAAGCCAGCTTCATATTGGTGGAAATAAAGTTTTCTTGTATTCTGATTGTTGCTAGCAATCAACGAAAGGATATACTGTGTAGCCAAGAAGATGTTTCCAATGGCATAGCCAGCCATTGCAGGTATTGGTAGCAGTGTGGACTCGTTTTCAAATACGTTTTCCTGGTCGTGGGGATAATTTGTACTCTGAGCCTGTAGGTCAAGGATTTCTCCGACCAGAGTCTGGATCTTTGTGTGTGCAATGGTTTGTGTGATTGAGTTGGTGGGCCTGGACGCAGACCACGGGGCAAGATAATAGTGGTATCTCAAGTCGATGAGGGCGGAGCCTTCCTGGTTTACATTCATGTTTGCTCGAATTTGCAAAAACTTCCTGACTTCTAAGAGCCTGAAAGATGAAAGTTGGGGTGCACTCCAATATGGGCTACTGAGGGAACGGCAGGATTTTGAAGACAGCTTTGGGTGCAAAAGAACGGGGCCGAGTGCACGTGGCCCCAGGCGAGTCTCGGGCCAGAGGCATTTTTGTCTCTGCCGCCGATGCGTCCTTAGAGTGACGACACGAACAGCATGGGCCTGCAAGCTTTCTTGTCCTGCTTTGGTTGCCTATATTTACGGGTTTTCTTTATTAGGCGCAAGCTGATGGTGCATCCGCTGTGCGAAAAATGTCGCAGTGCTGGGAAGAGGCGAGCACGGCTTCAGCCTGGCACAGCCATTCCTGGCCTCCAGACATGGAGAAAAATCTGGGCGTGTTTTTTTTTTTCACTTTGTTTATTCTGGGCTGTTCTGCTCTGTCTGTTCTGTCATTCCACGTGCTGCATAGAAAAAATTTTCTGACTGATTTGAAAGATATTTAATGGGATGAAGATGCCACTTCGATTAGTGGGCCAACTTCTATTGGAATGAAGTTAAATATCATGTCCGATTCATTTCCATGGCCCTCGAAAGCTTTGATGCCATCTGTGAAATGTACGTACTAACTAATGGATCCGACCAAAGACTATTATGAAACAGCCTGGAGCTGTCTATTATGAAACAGCCTGGAGCTGTCTCTTAAACTACGAGTAGATCGGTTTATAGATAGTTCAGCCTTAGTGGATAGGCCTAGTCTATCTGTCGTATTCTCGATGTCTAAAAAGTGTTATCCTTCTTCAGGGATGTCTCAGCCTCACGCTCCTTTATAGTTCGGAACCCTTCTATACAGTAGGTGAGGGGTAACCCCGATCAGGAATGTTTAGACTCTTCGTCCTTCGTATTATACAGGATGCCAAGAATCTATAATCTTGCTCATGTCGTATCATAACAAAGACAAGAAACTGGCAACTTGTCCGAGCGGTTAAGGAGAAAGATTAGAAATCTTTTGGGCTTTGCCCGCGCAGGTTCGAATCCTGCAGTTGTCGAAATTCTTTTTTTTGCCTTCAGACAGTTTGTTGAACGTTTCTTTCTGTTGCATGTGTTGATTGACGATAAGCCGCCCATTTGTCATATTCAT